GTGTACTCATGTTATTACCTAGAAAATATAGTCAGCTATATTTTAAAATTTCATTTGAAAAAAACATTTAGGACAGATTTTTTTTTTTTCTTCTTCTCTACACATAGGAATCAATTTGCAAGTCAAGGAAAGATACATTGCTCCTTTCATTATTCTTTCACTCATTACTGGGCACCCTGTAAGTGTAAGCACAAACATGTTGGATGCTGGTTTGCCTTCACAGTATATAAACAAATACAAAATACAGAAAAGAAAAATAAATTTTATGTTCTTTCTTCCTTTCATGGAAGCCTCAGAAGCCACACACTTAAGATAGCAGCATTGCTTTTACGGAAGGAGTCCAGTCCCTGAATGCCACCATGCAGCTGAGTCTAAACACTGTATGGAACATCTGATTTTGTGTCAGATGTCATGAGACATAATAAACGGTACTGAAACTCAAGGAGGTTATAGAACACAGAAGCAGTACATCTTTGTAATAGTGCTGCCTGTCTAGAGGAAACATCTCTAGAACGAGCCAGGAAGCTCTAGAGTGACGACAGAATTTGCAGTTTCAATCAAAAAGTTCACCGTGGCTATGTACAAAAATCTGTTTGAACACTGTTTAAAAACATCTCCTAGAAAGTCAAGAAACAGGGATCAAATCCTTGCTATTCCACTATTTAGCTTGCAGTGGAGAGTAAACAATCAGACATTTCTAAGTCTTGTTTTCCTCATTCTATAAACAGCCAATTGTCCACTAAGTGAAAGGGGCTGGCCAATTTAGGCACTCAATACATGTTTTCTTTCAACCACCCACTCACCCACCCACCTACTCCTACTAGCACAAGGGCTTCAAACTTATACACCTAGTCAAAAAATCAGTTTAAGCATTGCTTAAGAAAGAAGCCAAACTAAGTAAACCCTGAAGAGGCAGGGCTTAGAATGCATATATTCTTAAAGTTTGTTTTCTGTAAGTCAGATGTTTAGAAGTAGCAACATATTTTCCCATAAACACAAGTTTTAAGATTCCCAAGTCAGCTTGTTTAAATATAGCAAAATATATACCAAATTTGTGTTATATAACCATCAGTGTTTAGAACAAAGAATTCACTGAAATACACACTCAGAGATCCAGCATGGGAGACCCTTGAGAGACATCACTTCCTACTAAAATCTCAATAGCTAGAACGCAGGGACTTCCTTTCACAGCTATGACTCTATTCTTCTCAGCTACTAGGACATGAAACTAAAACATTGCGTGCTCTTCTGTACCCATTCCACCCCTAAACTCCAAACTCCAACAGCATGTTCATATAATCCCCTAGGACAAGGATGGAAATAGAGGTGACATGGGAGGCGGGGAACAAGGAACATAGGATTGTCTGAAGGGTGATTTAAAAAATAGTCGGGGCACTGGGGTGTAACTAAGGAATGAGGAGGGGTTTCCTTTCTTATTTCTCTCTTAAATGTACTGGAAAACCAAAGCAGAATGAAGGCTAACGACTGGATGGGGAAAGCAGAACTGAACAACATGGAAGCTCTTCTACAGTTGCAACTGCATCAAATTTCCCCTTCCCCTACTCCTTCTCACTGCTGTACTAGTATTGCAAAAGGAGCTGTTAGGAAACCATTAAGAGTGCACTACATTGAGGAAATGTGATAATGGACAGCAATTGGTGATGAGGTGGGAGGCAGCATCATAATGGGGATGGTAGTTGATGGAGTTTGGATGTACTGTCCTCCCAGAACTCGTGCAAATCTGATCCCCAGTGTGACGGTTTGAGTCACAGGGGCGGATCCCTCATGAATGGATTAGTACTCTCCTTAGGTGGGGGGAGTAATGAGTGAGTTCTCTCTCTATTAGTTCCAGTGAGAGCTGTTTGTTTAAAAGACCCTGGCACCTCCTCTCTCTCTTGCTTCCTCTTGCCATGTGATCTGCTTGTACCCACCGCTGGCTGCCGTTTTCTGCCATGAGTAGAAACAGCCTGAAGCCCACACCAGATGCTGTTGTCCCAGAATTGTGAGTCAAATAAGCCTCTATTCTTTACAAATTACCCAGTCTCAGATATTGTTATAGCAACAGAAAATGGACTAATACAGTAGTGAATAAGAAAATAAGGGGCCAGCCCGGTGGTGCACTGGAGAGTGCGCCGCTTGGGAGCGCGGTGGCGCTCCCGTCGAGGGTTCGGATCCCATGTGGAGACCGGTTCCCGCTCACTTGCTGAGCCCGGTGCGGGCACAACACTGAGGGTTGCAGGGTTGCGATCCCGTTGCCGGTCCCCGGTGCGGGCGCGACACCAAGGGTTGCAGTCCCGTTACCGGTCAGTAAAAAAGACAAAAAGGGGAAAAAAAAAAAAAAAAAAGAAAATAAGGAAGACAGGACATTCACTCCTTCCACTAGACTGTGATGTTTTTAAGGATAGGTATCATCTCCTGCCCAACTTTGCAACCTTCGTGCCTGAAAATCCAGCACACAGTAGGTAGTCAATAAATGTGTTAAATGAATAAATATAACTGTAGGAAATGATGTGATGCATCATCCAGACCTCTCTGTTTGTAACAGATGGGCTTATTTTCCTAGTTGTTGGGAATTCTGTTGGCAGACAGCCCTCAGGAGTCAGCCCACTTTGGAAATTGCCTCAGCTGAAGAAAGCCATCACACTCCTCCTTGGGGCAGCTTTCATCTAATTACTGGGAATATAAAAGTCCACCTCCAGGCCGGCCCGGTGGCGCACTGCTACAGTGCGCCGCTTGGGAAGCACAGCGGCGCTCCTGCCGAGGGTTCGGATCCCACATACAGACCGGTTCCCGCTCACTGGCTGAGCGAGGTGTGGGAGCAACGCCGAGGGTTGCGATCCCGTTGCCGGTCCCGGTCCGGTACGGGCGCAACACTGAGGGTTGCCATCCGTTGCCGGTCATGAAAAAAAAAAAAGACAAAAAAAAAAAGTCCACCTCCCCTCACCCTAACTTGAGACAACTCTGAGGGGTCATCCCAGCTTCAGAGCTCCCACTTAAGGTTTTTGAAACTGCATAACAGTCCAACTTCTCCCACGGAAATCAGGCTTCCTTCCTTTCCATGGCATCAGTCCCATGAGGCCTCTCTAGTAAATTTGCTGCACTCTAATTCCCATCTCAGAGTGTCTGTCTTCAGGGAAATCCAACCTGAGAGTCCACTACAGAACCTAGGTTTAAACCACCCAAGGAAAGGTATTAATTTGACTTCACAGTAAATGAAGGTCAGTAAATATTAAAAGGCTTTACAAAAATTAAGGAATGAACTCTTTCATCCCTAGCAATTTGTTTCCATTTCAGCTACTTTAAGTAATGAATATACTGAGAGTACAGTGCTTTCAGAACTGCCTCAAAAAAGTACACCTGTTTTACTATCATATACACAGTTAATAATAAACTATACCAAATTCAAATTGTCTAACTTAAAAGAAAGCGCAGAAATTAAACACTAATGAATTTAGTGTAAGCATGGTATAAAGCACTGAAGAGAACAGAACTGTTTTTCCTTTGGGTGTTAATCAACATCTGACTTGATAAGGAATTGTTTTTCCACTAAAAGCTACTCAATATATTAAGTACAGTATTTTTAATTATGATCAACAGTTATAAATGCACTGCTTATATAAAAGTCATTTTTAAAACATGAAGAGTTAAAATTATCACAACTATTTAATGCACAAATGAATAAAAAATATTAAAGTAACAAAACCATTTGCTTTATCTGGATACAGTGCCACTTGTATTCAAGATATTTGCAGCTCAAATAATACCTTAAGCTTGCAAGAATGGTTGAGGTTTTACTCTTTTTGTTAGATTTTCTTTTTTAAACTAGAAGACTACTTCTCAATTTGCTACATAGCATGGCTAGTTCTAACCATGCTTTCTAATACCACTTAATAATTTGTGCCTACTACTTAAATCTGGGGATTTTGCCAAAATATGTAGATTCTAATATCCAGATTTACTTCAGAAGTGAAACAAGTGGACTATATATGGAGAAAGTTTAAGTCTATACTTCTTGGAATATGGCCCAAAAAGCATTTAACAGCTGTGTATATACTGTACTTCTTGCCAGGATAAGTGATTCTAAATTCTATTTGTATATATTTCAGAAAACATACCTGGATTTGAATTATCTGCTCTCTGGAAATTTAAGAAACAGGGCTGACTGACATCAAACATCACCATGCACTTTGCCATACTGCCTCACCATTATGCATTCTTCTCTTTCAACAATACAAACATTAACTAGTAATATTACTTGTCTGCAGAAACATATTTTAGAAGTCACAAGTAGACATTTAATCAAAGAAAACTGAAGACTACAGAGTGCTAAGAGGACCTGGTGCTATTACAAATGCACACAAATATTTAATCCAACATTAGTATCACTTAGTTGCTATTATTAGATTCTACCCAAATGTTTCACTAATTTAACCCTTAACTTTCCTATCATAACATACAAGCAACCACTCAGAACCCATCTTTATCTAACACTGCTTTTACTTTATTTCCTGCATATATTTCATTGCTGTTTTTTTTCCTGTTATAAGGAAATGCATTAAAAATCAGAATTACTATTAGCTTTATATAACAGTATAATCTTCAATTTCTTGTCAAAATGAAATTACCTTATGAATCACTTTATTTTTATGGTTTTTTTAAAAAGGTGGTTAGCCTGCAATTAATTATTTAGAAGGCCAGTTTCCTGATCCTTCTTCAACTACTGAGAAAAAGTCATCACTTAAAATCTATGCTATGTGAAGAAAAGTAATTTTTTTTTTTTTTTAAAGATGACTGGTAAGGGGATCTTAACCCTTGACTTGGTGTTGTCAGCACCATGCTCACCCAGTGAGCCAACCGGCTGTCCCTATATGGGGCCCGAACCCGTGGCCTTGGTGTCATCAGCACCGCACTCTCCCGAGTGAGCCACGGGCCGGCCCAAGAAAAATAATTTTTTTCGCTATGTGAAAAGTCTGAGATATATTAGGTTTTTGTCAGCTTACCATGAATGCTTCCTAATGTAATATCCCCAGCAGCAGAAGTTAGAAATGATGATTCTGTATAAAGATACTCAGCTTTCAGCAAACCATCTTCAGTAGATACATTAATAGTACTTCCCTGTAGTTTATCTATGGTCACAGTCTAGTAAGAAAAAGACTCTAATCAGTTCATTATAAAACAAAGACTGGTAAAAAGCCAAACTAGAACTATGGAATTAGTGGTCAACTACATAAAAAGTTACTAACTAGTACACAATCACTTTACTGACTCTGATTACCTATCGCTAATTACAAGATTGTGAGCAACTGTACTCTCTGTAGAATGTGGAATAAAACCAATATATTCCTCTTTTTACTTGTCTTTAATTTTTCTTAATAATGTTTTCTTCTATATAGAATTCTTCTTCATCTTCTGTTAGATTTATTCTCATTAGATATTTTTTAAATGCTATTATAAAAGGTATCTTTTAAATTTTTGTTTTATCTTGATTTTTGTATTTGACCTTAATCCAATCACCTCACTAAACTTAGAAACTCTAATAGTTTATCTGTATTTAAGAAAAACAATTCCTACATGCATAATTATACTGTGTACAAGTGACAGTTTCATTTCCTCCTTCCCAAAACATATATTAATACTTGTTCTTCTGCTTTTTCTTTCATGCCTTACCATCTGGCTAAGACCTCCAATTCAATGGTGAATAGCAGAGATGAGATAACAGGCATCCTCATCTTACTCCTGTTTCAGAGAGAAAGCTTACAACATCTCACCATTAAGCAAGATGTTGCTATAGATACCTTTTAGACATCTACTGTCAGATTAAGGAGGCTCCTTTCTATTTCAAATTTGTTTTGTTGTTGCTATTTAAATTATGAATGGTTTTTAAATTTTAGCACATACTTTATCTGATTTTACTGAGCTATCATGATTTTTTTTTAGTATGCTAATAAAGTGAATACACTGTTCTTTCTAAAACTTTCCCAGTATACATCTAATAAGGCAACAGCTTTCGATTAAACAAAATGGAAAGAATTTTATATTTATCCTTAAGCTTCCCTAACAAAATTTAGTATGTATTTATGTCTCAAAAATTGCACACAATGTAAAATGAAGATGTCTAGTTAAGGATTCCAAATCATCTTTGTAGTATTTTAAACAAATGCTTCATAAGCATAAAGTGAGTGTTAATATAAAATTGTTGACATAAAAACTGAATCACCAGAACGTCTTGCCACAGTTTTGTCCAGGGACAACTTCCAGTAGTACACTGGGGTATTTAAAGAAAGAGCATCACTGTTTTTCAGCACACAATATCAGTGTCATCCACTCTTAATATGTCCTTCAGAAATTGTTAAAAGTTCAAAATGTTACCTAATAAGAATTGAGTTTCAAGAATACTAAACATTAGGAGGCAAAAGTATGAAAAGAGAAAGAAATGAATCCAAAAGTTCTTATGGGAAGCAAATTAGAATTACTTAGCCCTCTAGATTTGAAGTATATACTTTCTTCCTTAATAAACTTGTATTAAGTATATAATAAATACTTAAACCCAATTGCTTCTTTCTTTTTTTTTTTTTTTCCTTTTTGTCTTTTTTTTCGTGACCGGCAACGGATTGCAACCCTCAGTGTCGTGCCCGTACCGGACCGGGACCGGCAACGGGATCGCAACCCTCGGTGTTGCACCCGCACCTCGCTCAGCCAGTGAGCGGCCGGTCTGTATGTGGGATCCGAACCCTCGGCAGGAGCGCCGTGGCGCTCCCAAGCGGCGCACTGTAGCAGCGTGCCACCGGGCCGGCCCCAACCCAATTGCTTCTTATCTACTACACCCAATTGTTTATCTACACCCAATTACTTCTTACCTACTACAGTGTCTTTTACGCTAATTATGGATTCATAGAAATTTTTACATTAAATCTACTTTCAATAAATCTGTCAAAGAAAGAAATATTTTACCTATATTCAGATTTATGAGAATATAAATGTCTTGCCTTCCTATGCTTTATAGTAATGGTATAAAATTCCTGGAAAAAAAAAAGTGACCCTTTACCTACAAAGTTTCTTCATGAAAAGTTGCTTTGAGCCCATGCTTTCAAATTTTCCAAGTACTTACATAAGCAGGTAAGAAGGAACACTCTAGCTTTTTATAGATAGTGAGACTGTTTTAGGGAACATCAAAAGATAAATATTGAAAGAATATTTGAAACTTAATTAAATTGGCAAAGGGGCACTTCTAATTAGACTCTCCCCACAACCAAATAAAGTGTTCAAGAGACTCCTTAGGAGTATCTGGAAAATGCCAAGGATTTACTTTGTTCATTAAGCACTATGTGTTTTATTCCTTGGAAAGCCAGAAAAATATCCTCCCTTGGCCCACCAAAACAAATGAAGGCAAGTGAAACCACAACCCTCTCCCCCACAAGACAATAATATAGTTATTTTAATCAACCATTCCATTAAATTAATTTCAAAGAAATCCAAAATTCACTGAGGACCACATATAATGCACTGTTATCAGATAGCAACTGGGACAGTTAAATTTAAGACACCACGGTTTATAGCAAAATATTGAGGCTCTGATTTATAGTCATTAATTCTAATGGGAAAAAAAGTGTCATGACTCTCTGCATTGAACTATATAGCTTAATTAACAGAATTAGCCAGAAAGAACAAAAAGTAGACCTGAAAATCAATACTTTCCTAACAGTGGTATTGCTATAAATTAATTTTCTTTTCTAAATGAAAAGGAAAATTTTTCATAAGTTTAGTTACATACATTTTGTATACATAATTATTGTATATAATGAAAACCAAGTTTTAAGGAAGTATTGTGGCTTTGTAGCCCAGACTAAGACAGAGAGGAAAACTGACAACTATGTTATCAATTCACCCAATAGTCAGATAAAAGGGATTTCTACCTTCTCCACTTTAGGGATACTGAAATTAATGATACAATCTAAAAACAGCCACTCAGTGTAAAATAACATATAAATAACAATGCTATTAAATTATATAGTGCTCATTTGATTCTCAATCTTGTTGAGTAGGCAAGGTACATACTACTGTTTTACAAAAAATGAAACTGAGTCTCAGGAAAGTTAACTGGTAGATCTAGGACTGGTCAAAGTTATCTTTCCTGTGTTTCCTTTATTATCATCATCATAGTAAGTACTATATTTGAGTTAGCTATATACCAGATATTGTTTTAAGTACTTTACCTGTACTAACTCATTTAATCCTCATAACTACCTTCTGAATTAAGTCCATTACTGTTATCCCATTTTCCAGAAAACTGAGATACACAGAGGTTAAATAATTTGTCTGAAGTTATTGAGCTATTTAGTGGCTGAGCCAGGATTCCAATACAGGTAGTTTGGTCCTCGATTCTGTGCTCTTAACCAATTCACTAAGGTGCCTCTCAAATATGCAAAGCACATATCTATGAAAGCTGTACAATAAAAATTAACAGACTTTGTAAGTATTTATTTTATGTATTTAAAAAATCAAAAACTTGAAAATTAGCTTTAAAAATTAACACAATATATAACAACAATAGAAAAACTTTCTAGACTAATTCTTTAGATCACAAAACTCAATCAGGCAAAAAAGAAAACAAACAGTATAATAGGAAGTAGGAATAAATGAATATTCAATAAACCATGAGAGTTGGAGTAAATAAATAACTAATGAATGAAAAAATTGGCCAAAATATTCAAAATAGCAAATAATTGAGAGATGATTTAAATTCTTCTTTGAGACTTATATTGAATGTAAATATGTAATATTCTGGTAAATTAGATCATTTCAAATAACATTAGCCATCATTTAAAGGGCTGAGTTTGGGCCGGCCCGGTGGCGCACTGCTACAGTGCGCCGCTTGGGAGCATGGCGGTGCTCCCGCCGAGGGTTCGGATCCCACATACAGACTGGCCACTCACTGGCTGAGTGAGGTGCGGGCGCAACACCGAGGGTTGCGATCCCGTAGCCGGTCCCGGTCCGGTACGGGCGCGACACTGAGGGTTGCAATCCGTTGCCAGTCACGAAAAAAGACAAAAAGGAAAATAAATAAATAAATAAAGGGCTGAGTTTGAAAGAACTGCAAAGTTGTACAATTTCCCTCTTAAATCTCCATGGCCACAGGAATCCGAGAGATGAAACTAAATAAATGCCGTCTCAAAAGAGCTGCCACAAAATGCACACAGTGTCTTTCAACACTTCCCAGTTTAATTTAAAAGATATATTTAAATGTTTGGGGTTAAATGGTCTCCCACAGGTTCTAAGAGAAAGATGATGGAAAAATAAAAGTTACACCAGTAGAAACATATTAGTATTATAATCTACTTTGTTTAATTATGCCAACAATAATCTACCTACAAAATATGCTCACAACTCCTTCCCACCAATTATCTAAGAAAAAAGCTGACTAAAATTTAGCAAATTCATAACAAAAAACCCTTGCAAATTACATGTGTAAAACAGAAAGAGACAGATTTTTTTCAAAGATTTAAAACAATGATTACTTTAAAAAATTGTGACAATTTATATTTTCAAAATTATACCTTTATTCTTAATACTAAGTTAAATCACAGAAAGCAACAAAAGAAGTTGATTAAAAAATACAAACTATCTTCCTATAATAACCAAAATCTCTATGGCTAGTAAAAACTTTTGGAGAGCAATAAAACTAATGTTGCCACCTTGTGGAAAATATTGAAAAAAACTGGATTATGAAACTTATTCTTCAATTTGCCTGAAGGAAAAGTAAACAGGTCCTAAAAAAATACTCAAATAAACCTAACACATGAGAAAAAGTTAATCCAGATATTGATGGTATTACTTAATGAGTTATTTTTATCCATGATCACAAAAATAAAAATCTCTTCAGTACTAGAATTAAATATTAAGTATTTAAATTTTTATTGATTCCAAATAAGAAACTAAATAACTGTCAAAAATATCAAAAAATACCAAACTACAAACTAAAATTTAAATTGTATAATATTTAATCACCTCAATCTCAAATTTGAATTTGCTAATGAACTAAAATGCATTATAAACGGAATGCTATGCCACAAATTTTATAGACCCTACCCACTGTGTGGGCCCACTTGAAGCAAAATTGAGATTACTAAAAAAAGAAACTTTCAATCTTACACTTGTATCTGATGCATGAATATCGATATTTCCATGAACTGTTCCCAGACAGATCACTTTGCCTCCTTTTGTCTGAACATGTAATTTTTGACTCTGAAAGACAAAAACAAAATACATATACAGAAAAAGAATAAGTTTGACTTATACTAATGAAACATTTCAACATTTTTAATATCTTTTTTAATAATAATAAAGCAGCAAAAAGAGGAACCAGGAATGAAATAGAAATGCACTGTTTGGAATAATAACATCAACTGAAAAAAATGTCAACTGCTGCTATAGGGATTAAATAAGCCACCTGGACTCAAAAGGAAAAGAAGAGATACTTGGGTCTTCTGGAACCCTCACTGAGGTAAGGCTTGAGATTCAAAGATCCCTGTGACTGGCTAAATAAACATCAGTGATAATGAAGGTGACATCAATAATCACTGTTACTATTCATCATTATTACTAACAATAGGAGTTATCACTTAGCCTTTTCTCTACACCAGACACAATGTTATCTACTTTACATGAGCTATAATTTAATCCTCACAACAACCCAGACAGATGAGCATTATATTTTTCCCATCTTACAAAGGAAAAAAAAACAACACCTCAGAAAGGTTAAAATAACTTTATCGGTTAGAAAACAACAAAATCTAAACTAACAGAATCAAGCTCTGTATGGTTCCAAAGCCCACACACTTAAGGCTCGAGTGGTTTGAAGAAGGACATATTACCCATAAGGTGATATGCTACCCATATTACCACAAAGTGAAAATGCCTCTAAGCACAAATAAAACATCAGTTACAAGCCAGTTAGGCTTCTCTGCCAGGCAAAAAATATCCATGTGTATAGGAGACTTGATTTCACACTTGGCAACTTGGCAGCAACTACTACTGGTCCACCAAAATCCATTTTTTTCCAAAGTAAAAGAAGCACAGCTGGGCCCATGGTGAGACCACATCTTCCAGGTTGCCTTCCCTCTTAGGTTTTGCTAAATTATTGCCAACAGAATATAAGCAGAAATGCTATGTGCCATATCCAGGCTGGTAGCTTTTAGAAGAGTAGGTGTGCCTTCTCTGTGCTCTTCCCCATCTACCAAATGGGTGCAGATAACAACAAGGCTCTATGAGATGGCAGAGCCAGAAGATGAAAGAAACTTAGAATCAATGAATGGAAAAGAGCCATCCACACACCTGGACCCAAGTGAGAAATAATCTATAATTGTATGTGAGCCATTAAGTGTTTGGTCTATTTTTTAGAATAGTTCACTTTACCTTAACCATTACATATGTCTTCAGTTCTGTTACAATTTAAACAGTGAAAGAATAGGTAAATAGCTGAAGCTGCAGAAAAAGAAAAATAGTAAAAGTAAACTCACCAGCATCATGACCAGCAATAGCAGAAAAGTGTCTAAAAGGTAGGGAGAAATAAATTCACAACAACCATATAGCTTCTGGTTGCTTTACTTAGGGATTAAAACAATAAAACCTTAGGTAAAACAGCCTACAAATGTATTTCAAAAAAACTGGTGAAAAGAACAAGTGAATCATTTTAAAAGATATTTGGATTACAGCATGGTATACTACTTCATGCCCACGGAGACATGAGTCTGAAGTCAAATTATATTTAATATACTCTTTATCAGGCAGATAAGTACTTAATGAACTTTAGAAAAGACTATCTCCAAAATAACTGTTGTTTTAAATCAAGAGTTCTTAACCAAGCTTACATGAACTTCTAGAAAGTCTTTGAAACATAAAATTGCAAGCAAAATTTCATATATATGTGCATTTTTTCCTAAGGAGACATTATCAAATTTTCAAAGAGGTCTAAGGCTCAAAAATGTTGAGAGTTACTATTACAATAAAAAGCTCATCTATTTTGGCCGGCCCGGTGGCGCACTGGATAGTGCGCCGCTTGGGAAGCGCGGCGGCGCTCCCGCCCGAGGATTCGGATCCCACATACAGACCAGTTCCCGCTCACTGGCTGAGCGAGGCGCGGGGGCAACACCGAGGGTTGCGATCCCGTTGCCGGTCCCGGTCCGGTACGGGGGCGACACTGAGGGTTGCGATCCGTTGCCGGACACGGAAAAAGACAAAAAAAAAAAAAAAAAAGCTCATCTATTTCTTTAAGAAATGGAGCAATTCATAAAATTTTTAAAAATAGAAAACCAAACAGTTAAAATAAATGTTTAAATAAATCAGAAACTGTTTAGAAATTATACTACATTTAAAAAAATGCAAATGTGTGGCATTCACTGAGTTAAGGGTGTGTTACCTAAAAAATTTACTTACCTTATTCCTTAAGAATGCCAAATAAATGTGGTATTGCCAAATATTTTGTGTGGAGAGTAAAGAAAGGTGGAAATCACATGAGCTTGGAAATTGAAAAGACTGAAGTCAAATCCAAGCTCAATTTTCTTAACTATGTGAACTCAAGTGAGTTCCTCAATCTCTTGGTGCTTTATAGTTTCTTCCTTGATAAAATGGAGATAATTCAAGGATTAAATAAAGGCTTAGCTAAGATTCCTGGTACGTATACGAGGACTTGAAAAGGATTTGATCATCCTAGGAGTTATTTCAACATTACTCCTAAACTATGCTAAAAAAATAAAATAAAATACTAAGAAAATAAAAGAATGACAGACTCGCCTAGAATGGAAGTTCTCAACTGGAAGTGATTTTGTTCCCCAAACATCTGCCAATGTCTGGAGACATTTTTCATTGTTAAAACTGAGGAGCACACTACTGGCATCTGGAAGGTAGAGGTCAGGGATGGTGCCATCCTTCAATGTACAGGACAGCCCCCCACAATAAAAAATTATCTGGCTTAAAATGTCAATAGTACCAAGATTGAAAAACTATTTTTCATTTTATGCCCATAATGGCAATAAAGAAAACTGACAGAGAAAGATCTTTCAAATTAGCAGATGAATTGAAAGATGAATGAAAAGAAACAGTCAGCAGCACAACAGATTCTAATTTTTATTGCGAAATTAAAAATCTCAGACTGAGTCTTCAGAGGACAATATTCTTAATGAATTTTCTGAAACTTTAGCACTGATAAAGGACAAAAGGACAAAAAGGAACTATGGTATTCTCATCCAGTTAGTTATTCAACGTGAAGACTTCATCGCACAATCTTTTATGACAAGGACTTGCACCATCTTGTTTTGCTATAAGGATGTGTGATGGTAGTCTTTCAACTTTTACAATGCTTGTGCAACTAAATTTATTTGAAATAGTACATATGCAGAAAGAAGCTAAAGGCAGGTGTGCAAATAAAGGTGGTTGAAAGAAAACAAATGATGTAAAAATTTTAAAATGCATCAATCATCCTAATTAGTGTTTATATGTCTAAAAATGAGAATATTTTGCAATTATGAAGCAAAGATGACTGAACTTTCTTCAATAAAATTATATCCCATCAAAGTTCATAGAAATATTGTATTTCTATGCACGCAAGTGCAAGAAGCACTAGAAGTAATGATAAGTCAGAACTTATCAGAAATGTGTTTCAAATTATTTACAGCTGGGATCAATCTAATTTTAAGAAAATTTAATGTAAAAATGTTAATTATAAAGTAAAATGAATTATTTTTTGTACAAACAGCTACTTAATACTTAAATAATGACCTGCCTGCTACATTAGAAATTTGAAATGTGATTAAAGTAACCTAATATATTTTTTTTTCCTTTTTGTCTTTTTTACTGACCGGTAACGGGATCGCAACCCTCAGTGTTGCGCCCGCACCGCGCTCAGCCAGTGAGTGGGAACCGAGCGGGAACCGGTCTCCACATGGGATCTGAACCCGCGCTCCCAACTGGCGCACTTCTCCAGTGCGCCACCGGGCCGGCCCTAAAGTAACCTAATATTTTAAGCACATTTATAGAAGAGACTTTTTCTTACTGTTTAATAAATGGGAGAAAATGGTAAAAACTAAACTTTCTTTAACTTAATATCTCAGAATACTAAGAATATACTATTAGTTTAACTGTACACTTTGAAAAGAAATCTAAAAAGAATATGAGGTGAAATCTTCAAAGTTGCTGCAACTTCTGTAGTTTCAAAACTGATCTGATTTCAAGATAAAATTTTTTCAAAGAATTTCTAAGAGATGAATAAATGATATTCAATATTCTGAAAAATAGAATTTAGTTTGTTACTACAATTCATAAAGTTTTAAAAAAAAAATATTTAAGCAAAATTAGAAAAATGCTTATACCTTCACAGACTGTAAGATGCTGGTCCCCTGCTCAGTTTCAATTTTGCAATTATCACACTCAATATTTTGGATTTTTACACAGCCAGATCCTGATGACTTTATACTTATATCTAGAAGTGAAAAAAGAAAAAGCAAGTTAGTACTATGGCTAATGGGCTCCAAAGCATTTTAGTACCCACTAGAAATCCAGCTCCTCGGTTATGTTCATATTATTACTGAATCCTAGAGAGAGCAGAGTTGGCTGCAGTTTCTCTCTTAAGGGAAGGGATCTCCACCACCACAACAGGACTAAATGTAATGGCCTTTCTGCCAGTTTTTAGATATAGAGCAGTTATTTCTGTTGGCTTATATCATCTAAAGAGAAAAAGAAACATAAATAGGAGGTAAAGGAGGCAAGAGACTCCAATTCCTATAGGTACTCCTGTGCGAGATCATGGAAACCCATTCTTCACTAAGAAAACACCCTCCACACCCACCCCACACAAGTGCAAATAAGAATACATGAAGTGAACGAGTCACTACGGCAAAGCAAATCATTTAAGTCACTTAGCCTATTTTCTCTTATATACAGTTAGATTTAAGTAATTGTACCCAAACCTCCCCCAAATTGAAAGCATAGTGCAGGAGCAGCATGGATCTGTATACGTGATCATGAGGTAGGTTTTCAAATCCTACCTCTAACCTTTCATATCTAAAAAATGAGGATATCACTATGCAGCTATATCACAAGGTACCTGAAATAATTTTTAAAATGGGAACAACTTTGAAAAGCCCAATACTAAATATTACTAAAATCACAAAATTGTGGATAAATAACGGTGATATCTGAAGAAAGTTCGGAAAATAAGGAGTCATAGGTACCATCCTTGGGTGTCAATTTAAGGTGTAACCTTCGGCATCCCCGTATAACAATTCTAAAAACAAACACGCCCCCCGCCCCCGGTATTTAATACCTAATTTACGTAACCATTGATTTTCCTTAAACCAGACTAGAGAAGTAGACACTATGTTGTCCCATAGCTTGATTTAATCACTTCAAAAGTACACAACACATTGTAAATATATACAATTTTTATTTGTCAATTATACCTTAATAAAGCTTGTGGGCAGGGGATAAAGAACCAGTAATTTAAAAAAAGAAAAAATTCGCTGCGTGTGCCCCGGAACCCAAACTCCTTTTAATTCCACTTGCCAAACTTGAGGGGCGCGTTCACCTCCACAAACGCCCGGGGATCGATAGTGTCAGACACGATGGCCATCTCCTTCAGCACCTCGTCGTACTCCACCTGCAGGCCGTCCAGGCCCCGCGCCCCGCCCTCCACGCCGCTCACCGCGACCAGAACGCGGTCGCCGTCCGGGTAGGTGAGGGGGTCCAGGGACCTCACGGCCAGGTGGCACGGGAGCTGCGCCCGCAGCCGACCGAACGGACTCACCAGCAGCGTCCATTCCTTCAGAGTCCGGGGCGCCGGGCCAGACGGAGGGACCTCGGGCTCCGACCCACACCGACTCTCGCCCCCACCTGAGCCATACGGCCGACCCTGGCAACCCCGACAAGCCCAGCGCCCAACGCCGGCCCATACTCTGAGCTGACAGAGCCGGAGGCAGCCAAGCCCCCAGCCCGAGCAGGGAGAGAACATGGCGCGCCCCTCTCCCCTCCCTCAGAACGCCTCAGCCACAGGGAGGGTCGCTGGCCACGGCCAATCGACTTGGCCACTGTTGCGACTTAAGTCAAAAAAGATACGTTTGAGAGGTTTGCTGAAACAAGCAAGAGCCGGTTCACGAACTTCACCAGGCGACTTAAAACTCAGCCACACAAATCTCAGGAGTAAGGTCTAACGATCAACTCTGACCCAGACTCCTTGCCCCGCCTCCCTTTCGCGAAGGCCGACGGTATAGGTAGTTCTAAAAACGACAGGCACCGAAGAGCTCTAGCGGATTAAAAACTACATATCCCAGGAGGCCACGCGCAGGTTAGAAGACGTAATTAGAGCAGGTGTTATACTGGGAAAGGCGCGCGCCCTTTGCCTCAAGCACATCGGCCATTGGAGGGGCGTAAGAAACATTAACACGGGAATCCAACTGGCCAATGGAAAGCGCGGAAGGGGCAAGATGGGTAAAGCTGCGTGATCACCTTGGATACCAAGGACGCGACTTTTTGTTTGGAGAGAGTGGAGCTCGGCAGTGAGACACAGGAGGCCAAAACCCAAAGAGAAAAATAGGAGCCTAAATAAGGATCAAAACCAAGGGAAGGGGTAAGAAACTGTGCTTTTAAATATGAGAACAGGTGCAAACTAAGAGTACCCTCTGGGTGGTTAGACCCAAGTTTCACTTAATTAGTGCCGAGTCTTGTGGAGATGGAGAACCAAGAGAATAAAAAGATTGATGCTTTTTGAGGGAACTCTCTCTTCGGTAGCAAATATAGGAATACCGTTAGAGTTCTGGCTCTTTCCTGACTCTAAGTGACCCTACGCCCGTCATTGGACGTCTTTGAGTTTTAATTTCTCGCTCTTAAAATAAGGACAATACCTTTCTTGCCTTGCCGCAAAAGGTTTTTTGTAAGGATCAAATAAGATAATGGATGGGAACGCGGTACGCAGTCCACAAAATTGCAATGTAAAGTACTGTATTTTTATTTTAGGCATAACACCGATTCTAAGTTACCAAGAAAAATCTGAGAGATCAAAACTTGTTTTGAAAGCACCCCGATGTCTTTGACTACAAGTGATCCTGGGTTTTAGGGCTAAAATAAGATACAGAAAAGGGAGAGTCAACATGGTGCGGTGGAAAGAGCAATGGGACTCTGGATCAGATTATTTTCCTGACCCTGCCATTTTATTTGGGTCACCTGAACATGTTTCTTCCTTTTTGAAATGAAGAAGGATTGCACCATACGACGCTCTAAGTCTCCTTTACCTTTTATATTGTATTATTCTATGGGCAATAAAAATAATGTAAAAGATTTTTAAAAGATCTATTTCCTCCTTTCTGCCTGGTCTCTCTCCCTTTCTGTACCCACCACTTCCTCCTGCAAATTATTCCCTAAATTCTTTAGCTAAGATATCTGCAAACAATGACGTTTAATAGAATGTAAGTGCTGAAACTGAATGCCTTCAAAAATTGAAGCCCTCGACCAAATGCAATGACCCAAATTCCTGGGACGTGTAGTAACAGAGAGAGAGAAAGACTGAGCTAAAGTCCTCCTGGGCCCAAGTCACAGGTTCTCGGCTAACCATTACCTTTTTTAAATTTTAGTGTTTTCTTAAGTTATCCTTTTTTCCTTTCTGTCTTCCTAGTCATTCCTCCCTCCTTATTCTTTTAATTTAGACTTATGATAGGTGCTAGCTTTTGGGTTCAGCAAGTGCCCACTGAATGAATACTAATTCTGTCCTTGGCTCTGTGTTTCATGTGGTTATAATTAATCAAATTGATCTTCAAACTATCTTTTTTTATGAAAACCCCCACGCATAACTTTGAAAAGAAATTTTTAAAAAGCACTGGTTTAAACAAGTTGAAAATGCACTCAAATTTGCCATAGAAGTGCTAAATATTTTTAGACTAAATATGAATCCTCAATAGATAATTGTTTCTATGGTAGTTTTTCCTTTTCTGAGACAAATTAAGTTAATGGAATTGGCAGCTGAATCATAACTATGTGGCATAATCATTGTTTTACTATTTTCAAATAAGGAAAACTAAGTAAAATTGACCAAAAAAAATTTCTTTTCTAATCCTATGAGGTTGAAATGGAGAAATTATTGATTTTAAGGTTGATAGAAGATATTTAAAAGTTATTTATACTTAAAAAACAATCTGTTGAGTATCTAATCTGTCCACATGTCAATAGTGACTAATAAAAATACTACCATCCATATGTGTGACATTACAGTTTTTAAATCATGTTCTTTTGCATCATCTCACTGTATTCTCACAAAACACTCTGTTTATCAGGGCAATTATTATTTTCTTTACATTATAGAAGAGGCAACAGATTCAGAAACATTAAAGTTAGGCAATTAGAAGGTCTGGCCCTCTTTCCATTCTACTAAAAGGTCATTTTATTTTTCTCACACCTTTGGGGAAAACAAGAAATTATTCACTACATGAGTAGAGAACTATATATGACTTTTTCTGCTTATTAATAGTTTACTTGTAAGATATGTTTTACTTCTTTAGTTTTACAAAAGCCATTTCTGTGGTCATGAACATATACTTCTGGTGAGACTGTAAGTTGGTATAAACTTTTCAGAATTCGATTCTGCAATATGCATGAGAAGCCTTAAAAATATGTGTAGCTGTGATGCAAAAATTGTACTTTTTGGATGTAAGCACAAAATTAGGATGTTCAAGGAATTTTGTGAATCAATTTAAATAGGAGGGTATAAATTAGTATACATCTGGAATATTATGTAATGACTTAAAAATTATATTTTTGAAGATGAGTCAGTGATATGGGAATTATTCCATAATATAATATTAAGAGAAAAGAGTAAATACCAAATTGTATGTATGGTCACAGTTCTGTAATAATAATAATAAAATTAATATAAAATTATATTGCACAGAAACAATTCCAGAGGGAAATAAACCACTTGATAATAGTGGTTATCTCTAAGTAGTGAAATTATGAGTGATTACTTCATTTTTCATGTATCAGTAGTGAACATATATTACATTTATAATAAGAAAAAAATTTTTAAAGCATTTCCTAATATATGTTGTTTCCTAAGACTGACTCAAATAATCAAATGGCTGGAGGATTCTTTATCATCTAAATGTAAATGTCAATGAATATTTTATTTAATTATTTATGTTCAATAAATGGACACCAGAGGGCAGGAGAAAGTTTTTAGAAGAAAATGTAATTAAAACAAAGGATTCAGTAATTTAGCTTAAGTGAGGGAGGCCACAGGAATTTGTAAACTTTGTGAATTATGAATTATTTAATCAGAAATACATCTTATGACTTCTTTTATTCTTATGAAATGTCAATAAACTCCATAACCTAAAGTAATAACAATACTAAGAAGTATTTAATGAAAATGTAGGAGGTCCCACTTGAAATCTATACATAAAACTGCAAATAGAGACAGTTTTATTTCTTTCTCTCTAATATATATGGCTTGTATTTCTTTTCTAGTGTTATTGCACTGGCTAAGACCACCACTACAATATTGAATTGGACTGGTGAAAGCAGAAATACTTGTCTTATGTCCAATTTTATATAGGAAAGCATTTGGTATTTCACCAGCAAATATGAAGTTAGCTGTAGATTTTTTGTAGATGCCCTTTATCAAGCCAAGGAAATTTAATTGCTAGTTTGCTTAGACTTTTTATCATGAGTGAATGTTGCATTTTGTCAAATGCTTTTTCTGCATCTGTTATGATGATCACATGGTTTTTCTTCTATAATTTATTAATATGGTGTATTACAATGATAGATTTTCGAATACTGAACCACCTTTCATTCCCTGGGTAAAGTACATCTGATCATGTTACATTATCCTTTCTAAAAATTGCTAGATTCAGTTTGCTAACATTTTGTGAGGCTGTTTGCATTTTGCGTTCGTAAGGGATATTGGTCTGAACTTTTATTTCTTTGACATGTTTTTCTGGTTTGGTATGAGGGTAATGCTGGCTTTGTAAAATTAGGCGGCAAGTGTTCCCTCTTTTATTTTCTGGATGAATTTATAGAGAATTTGTATTATGGTTTAGTTTCATTTATCCTGCTCCGAAGTCAATAAGCTTTCTTTATCTGAAGCCTTCAATTTGTAAATCTCCAACCTCTACCTATTCTTTCAATTCTTTACTTCAGGACCTCTTATTTATGTGAATTTCTCATTCTGTCATCTATACCTCTGAACTGCGTTTACATGATTTTTACTTAGTCATCTTTCTGTATTTCATTCTGGATGATTTCCTCAAATCCCTGTTCTAATTCACTCATTCTTTCCTAACCTGTGCTAATACAGTGTTTAATAGCTACATTGAATTTTTTTATACCAAATGACTATTTTTCATTTTTAGAAGATTTATTTGCTTCATTTACAAATCTGCTTTCTCTTTTTTTAAATAGCCCTGTTTATTTATTATAGTTTCTTTATTTTGCCTCTTTAATTATTTTAAACATACATATTTTAAATTATCCTATGATGTTCTGTGTGGGGGTTGCTTTTGTTACATAAACAAACTCCCTCACTCATGGTGACTTATTTCCTGTCATAGCTTGTAAATTTTTACAAGTTCTCTTAGTGAACTAAATTCACTTAGTGTAAGTTCTCTTAGTGAAAATCCTTTAAATTCTAGATTATGATAATATCCCTCCACAATAATTTTGCATTTGCTTTGGTCAGAGCCCTACCAATTTCAGTGGTCATGAGCCAGGTTTTCAGTTTTTATTTTCTTTTTCTTATTTTCTTCACACATTTTTGTAAAAGGTAGTTTATTCATACAAAAGAATAAATATAAAGTATGAATAAGGTGTAAAAAATAATAGTTAAATGAACATCTTTGTACCCAACACCCAGTTTAAGAAATAAAAGATATGACCAATTAAGTTTGAGCTTCCATTTTTTCTTTTTTTCTCCTCTATCTTTTGGCTTTCACCCAAAGCTGAGCCAAATTGAGAACTGTGTAGAAGAAAAGGGGCTCCTGCAACACAGAGGGTGTAAGGAAATCCCTGTTTTTTTCTTTTCTTTTTGCTGTGCTGGCCCTGCCTCAAAGCCAGCCCCAAACACAGATCTGTACTGCCAGGCAGGCTG